ATCTATAAAGCCAACAGGATGGAGTATATCAATTCTGACTTTGCCGCGGCTCTTAGTGAAGCACTGCATGCAAATCTTCTTTATTTCATCTCCTGTCAGTGTGTACTTGAGTCTGTTCCTCAGGAAGATGATGAGCGGCAGACATTGTCTCAGCTTTGGAGGCCGGTGGGTGGACGAGGAGCAAACATACCGGTCAGGTGAGTTTATCCAGCATCCAATGCTTTGCAGCTATGACTCTTTTCAGATGCTTCTTGAGACCACGAGACATGGCTGAGCTCTAGCCAACCTCACCATCCTCACTCTCTGCCACATGACTCCTAGTGTGGTACCCCAGCTCCTGAGCTTTGTGTGTAATATTACGTTTTCAAAATATGCAATGAGTTTTATATGACTTAGGTATTCTTCCTATGCTTTTTAAACTTACCAAAATTTATAAATTATTTTAACTAAATTTGGCATCTTAATGATTATTTGGCACACTGGGTTATCATAGCTTAAGTATTCTTAACTTACTTTCATAAGACTTAATCATTGCATGAGAATCCTCATCAAATATTGAAAATTGAAGTCATAATTTCTCCCACCATTTGCATTTTTTTCTGATTATTTCTTCCTAACACTCTAAGAGAATTGATGTTATTCTACATTCAAGTAGCTTTTTTGCTTCATTTATACATCATTGTCGATCACTTTGATTTGACTAGATATTTGATAACTTCTGAGTCCAGGTCATCAGATCTCTTGCAGTTTCTGCCTGGGACTTTGAGCAAGCTCCCAAGCAAGAACCTCATCTCACGATGTAGGTATTGTAGTTGTATATAGGAGACTTCTGGTGAGGTCTCTTGAAAAAGATAGAAAGGTAAGCAAAGGGGGTAGCTCTCCAGTGAATCTAGCTGGTAGGCAGTAAAGACGCCCACCCAGGAGACAGGTTTGAATCCAAGCCCAGAAGCTATGGACTGTTGCTGGGTGGGAGACAGCCACAAGCAGCGTGGCCCAGAGCTTCGTCAGTACTCAGCTGTGAGTGAAGGTACCATGGGGTTTCAAGCAACTAGGTTGTGGGACAGAGTATGTTTCAGGTTTGTGTGTCTGTGCTACCAAAACATTGTCTAACTTCACTAAGTGCTGAGAAAGTGAGATGCTCTTATATTCATTTTCCCACAATAAATTTACATGTGAAATAGCAAAAATTTCTAGTATAATTTTAAAAAATGGTAGTAGGTTCCAGTATGAAAATCACAAATTTTTTAGCTATTGTTTTTGTGTAAAGAAATAGTCCAATGATTTTCTTTCCTCTTAACACAACCAAATACCAGATGAAGCCTGAATAGCTTATAAATAAAAGAATTATTATTATAAGCATTAATGAAAGTCAGGTATGCGCCTTTCTTATCATGAATGTGTGTTCCTCATTGCATGAGGACAACTTACGGGGATATTCTTACGTACATTCTGATATACCTAAAACAATGAAAAGCAGAAATAACTGTCTTACTTCACTAATTTTCAACCAACGCTTTCTATAATGTTTTAAAAGATCAAGGAAAGGACGATGAACTTATAGATCTGTATTAACCTTGTTGTCTCCAAATGGACATCAATAGCTTGTTTTATATTGACTTTGAAAACATCCTTTTCCCATAAACTTTAAAACTACATTAGAACTTAAATATACTAACTTTTCCTCAGTGCTGCCTTCCACAATGGTATGAAAGTAAAACTAGGAAGCAGATTTATATTTGATTACTCAGAAAATGAATAAAATATATTTTCGTGCTTTTGCATACACCTAACACCTTTATACATCTATATACATACATGTGAATGTACATCATATTTGGTGCAGAGCAAGTATTTTAAGTCCTGAACTTATGAGTGAGTTTCTTCTCAAGAGAATGTTTGAAAGCTGGAATCATTTGTCAGTCTATAAAAGCATTTCTCATAGACCTTTGACACAAATATACAACACAAAGCATAAAAATTCCAAACACTCATAAAAATCTTGTGAATGAACTACTTTTTGCATTCACCTGAAAATTATGGGATCGTGTGCTATTTTAATTGTAAATAAACTACTTTTACTCTTGCAGTTACTTTTAAGTGGTGGTACAGTACTATAAAACAACTGGCAGATAGGGTGTTGCTCAGAGTGAACTGGAAAGAAGAGTTGCTACTTGGAGGAAGGATGCGAGGTGGTAAACAGTGTGATATCGTCTACCACCTTCTTGCCTTGGTCCAACCTCCCAATTACTTTCACTGTTATTTCCATGGTTACTGCTTTGCACTTACTATCAGTCGAGTCAGTGACTCCACTGCTTTACCTCTTGCTCTGGACATTCTGGGCACAGACTGAACGCTCACCACCGCACACTGCCAAGCTGCACAATGAGCGCACAGTAGCACGCTGTGACGATGTGCAGCAGGCAGGCGAGCTACCGTCATGGTCTGTTCACATCTACAAAGGTTCGTCACACAAAGTCCGTTCACAGCTGGGAAAGTTTGCAATGCAAATGTTTGCAATTGTGGGACTTACAGTACAGAACACATCAGAAGGAAGGAGAGGGATTTCTTTTTACATTTATTAGTTTTTCCCTCCTTTGTCATTGACTAAATAGGTACAACCTAGTTTCCCACAATCTTACAAATAGTAATATATTTTCCTTTGTTTAATCCATCATATTAATATTTGAAAGATTTTGAATTTATTCTACCTTTAGAAAACTGGGCATAATATACTTATAGTATTTAACTTCACAAGCCAATAAATTTTATTATTTGCAAATAGATTTATATTTTAGACATTTCAAGAAAATTTTGATAGCTGTGTACACTATTCTCTCTTATCTTTTTAGTGTGTATGAATTTCATGGCTATAGTATCAAACAAGAATAAAAGTTATTATTTACAAATGGTATTTAGATTTTTGTATAAGCATTTATTTATTTATTTTTTTATTTTTGTATTTTTGTATTTTAGGGAAGGATCTACGGGGTGTTCAGGGTTTCACTACTAGATTGGACTCATAGTGATTCTCCTGGCTACAGCCTCTCAAGTGCTGGGATTACAGGCTCCCAGCACCCTGCTCAGTCTCAAACGCTGTCTCAGCACGCCCCCCGGTGGGAGGGGGACAGCATGGCAAAACCAGGGATCGAACCCTGGGCCCCTGAGCCTACTTGCAGGCTCTTTAGTCTGCTGAGCTATTTGCTTAGCCTGGCACTTATTTCTTATTAAAGAAGTTGTTGAGATGCTGCTCTTTCCTATATCAGACTATAAAGCTTATTCTCATACCAAAGTGGAGAAAATAACACATCCCAGGAAAAAACATTTACACTATAGCTTGTACACATGTGTGAGCTTGCCAGTATGAAAACAGAGTTTCAGGTTGATTATGATTTTTGATGATTCTGTCCTAGGAGCTGTTGGTGTTGACTGGGCATGTCATTAATTTCAAAATATGAGTGCTTCTTGATTTAGTTCATTTCTTTGATTTTTGGGTAAGTGAAAGTCTTTTTCTGATGCCGTGGGTCAGTAGCAAATGTTTGGCCAGGTTTGGAGAAAGAAAGAAAACATCAAAGGCAACAGTCCTGAGGGGGAAGAACCTTAATGAAGTGGCATCTGTAAGCTCTGCAACCACTACCTACATTTAGCAGAAATCAGGGCTCTAACATTCTACATGTTCATACATAGAGGCCCTAATTGTCTTTGCTAAAGTCATAGTCTCTATGTTCTTTAGGGTATTTCTGGTTAAGGTATTTCATGAATGAGTCCTATGGTTTCCAATCCTGGTTCACATTCAATACCACTGCTACTGCTGAGCTCACTACTACAGCCAAGAAACATATAGTGGCTGACAATTAATTTTCTAAGTCTAAAGAAATATCACCTATAATGCTCAAGATGCATGCAGGGACATGCATAAAAAAATGTAAGAGCTGACCAAATTGGGTAAATTATGAATGATAAAATCACTACATATATATAATACTGAATAAAAAGACAAATATCTGCAATTTAAGAATTGTAGAACTTTTAAGTTTCAGAAATGATTAATGTTAACTCAGAGTGTCTGAAATTGAAGGCAAAATGATAGGTTATGAAGAAATACATTGTAAGGTACATAAAAATAAGAACACTAAAAAATCAGACAGTAGTTACTAGAAGACTCTGAAAATACCAAATTCATGCTAATTAGAATTAGATAAATGCTAGACAATAACCAAATTTATTAATACACTTAGAGAAGTCAAGGAGAGAATGTCCAATTTGAGATAAGTGTTCAACCTTCAGGTAAACAATGTGTGAGAACAGCAAAAACTATGATTAAAAAAAAGTTGACCAAGGCATATTCTTACTAAACTGCCAAGTATCAACAATGAAAACATCTCCAGAGAAAAACAAAAAAGTCACATCTTAAGGTAAAGCCATTAGAATAACAGCAAATTTCTCAGCACAATCCTTGAAAGTCAGAAGTTTTTGGAGGTACTACATGTTGTAACAACAAACATCGCCCAGCTCTGATTACCAGATGCAGCAACGATTTTCTTCACAATGCAGTGATACTCCAGTTGCTGAGTGAGGCTCAGCTCAAACATTCCGTTACTCAAACAGCAAAGTCTGAAAGAACAAATCTGTTCAGCGTTAACTTTTCTGGATAGTTGAAGTGAAAGTCCAACTTGAGACAATCTGCACGAGCCTGGAGCGAGTCAGGCAATGCTCCTCATCTCAGACACAAAGGGGTGAGGCTTCGGTCGGAGTGCCACCCTGGCCCAGGAAACACATAGTGCTTGCGTATTAAAATATACATTGATGTGCCTTTGTTTCTGCTTTTTTTTTTTTTCATAAAATGCCACAACTATGGTTCCAAAGAAGTCAGTGATACTAGGAGCAAAACTAAGAAAAGCTCTGGTAAGGACCACAATACAATTAAAGAAAGAAAGCACTGTGAAATTTTTAACCAGTCCTGTAAGGATGAGTTGTTAAGTGTAATCCTTGGTTTCAGAACCATGCTTACATGGGAGGGGAGGAACTATGATCGCGAGGGTGGTTTTGCCAGGGTGCGGCATACTATTGCCCTCTGGGTGTGCTGGTATCTGCAGTTTCCCAAAAGTGGACACTCAACTGCATAATTTGTGTTAATGGGGGCTGCATTTGCACTATCCCTTGGGACAAGCAAAGGACTCATCATTTAGTTTTTCATTATTTCTTATGGGAAACATATTTTTATATCTAGAAATGTTTAATTTTTAAACAGAAATCTGGACTGAATTGAGTCTGACAAATGAGGTAGATATCACCGTAGAGGGAGAAGTAAGAACGTTGCATGAAAAACACCAGCGTGAGAAACATACGAGTGCAAACACTGCACCCTAGAAAATACTCAAGAATATTCTAGGGGGGCCTGCCCCTTAGCTCAGTTCTTTAAGTGGCTGCTTCAATGAAGCAGTCAGGCTCAGGTTGCTGTGGTTCGATCCCCACAACTCAAGCCAGCCAAACCTGCCCTGAAGGCATTAGGAGCAAAAAAAAAAAAAAAAGAATATTCTAGACAGGAATGACTGAAGATAATGTGCAAGCATCTAGCAAGCTTAATGGACAAGCTGGAAAATGACAGGCCAAGAAAAACAAATGTCATCAACAGAGGAAGAGCTCAATGATAGTGTATGATCATCACAGCTCAGTAATAGTTCTCAATGCTAATGGTGTCAACTGTCCAGCTAAAGACACAGATTGGCAGACTGAATCAAAAGACGGAATCCAACAATCTGTTGCATTCTCAATCTGACCTAATCTAGAGAGGTATTCACAGACTCAAATCAAAGCATATATAGTTATGCTATATGCATCAGGAATCCATACACAAGCAGAAAAATCCATTTTAAACTCAGACGTGGTGAACTTCAAGCTAAAACTGATCTGAGGAGAGAAAGTATGTTACTATATACTAGCTAAAGACAATTTAACAAGTAAAGACAATACTTATAAGTATTTATGCACCAAGCACTGGAGCACCTATTTTCCTAAAACAAAAATGGCTGAAAATATAAAGCCAAATATGTACTAACACATTATAAAAGAATATTTTAACATACCACATGCTGCAAGAGATGAATCAAATAAACAGAAAGTCAGTTCAGAAATAACAACTGAACCACACTCTTGAACACAGGAGTTTAACAGATAATATCGACTGTATTTCATCCCTCTACAATGAAGTACATTGTCATTTTTGTAGTACAAGTTACTTATTTCAAAATAAATCATGTACTATTTCACAAAACATGTTTAAGCACATATGGCAGGACGAAATCAATCCATGTGTAGCATTAGACCCCTGTGCAATGAAAGTAGAAATCAACGACTGAAGAAAAAAAGAAAATGTAGAAACACCTTGAAAATTAATGACATTCCTAAAAACCAATGAGTCACAGAGGAAATAAAGGAGGATATGAATAGATTTCTGCCAATACTGGGGTTTTCTATGAAAGGAGTCCTCCCAGGGAAGTTCATCACACTCAGTGCTAAAGCAGAGTGAGTTTAAATATGTCACTTTATGAGTAACCTCAACATCTTTGAGGAACAATACCCTCATCAACAAAAGAAAGGAGGAAATGACAAATTAGAGTGGAAATTACTAAAATCAAGTATAAAATAATATACAAAAAATTCAGTGAATCAGAGGTGTTCTTTGAAAGAATAAATCAAGAGGATAAACCTTTAGTCAAAATTATCAAAAGAAAGACATGACTCACATCAATAAAATTAGAAACAAAAATTGAGGGGTCAGGGAGATGGCTCAGTGGAATAAGTGCTTCCCTGGCAAGCTCTAGGGCTTGAGTTCAATCCCTGGTTCTGAAAACAATAGCAACAACAACAACAGCAAAAACAGTTTAAAAAAAAGAAAAAAAATGAAACAAAAATTGAAATCACAAGAGACATAATCAAAATCCAGAGGATGATAACTGCTATCAATAACTGTATTCCAATGAATTGGAAATGTGGGGAAATGGATAGAGTTCTAGACTTACACAAACTATCAAATGAACCCAAGAGTGTAAATGAATGCTGCATAACCCAGTATGAGCAATAAAATTGATACAATAATAAAAATTCTACATACTACAAAAATCTCTAGACTTTCTTGATTTACTGCTGAAGTCCACAAAACTTAAGGATGTTGAGTCACTTATACTTTTCAAATTCCTTAAAACAAAATTGAAAAAGACATAGTGCTTTCAAATTCATTTGTGCAAGATCACTCCAATTCTAAAGCCAGCTAAAAATACAACTAAAAGAGTAAACTATCACTCCTTCTTTCAGCATAATGCTCACAATATTATCCAAAGCAGCCAGTAATAGAAAGAAATTAAAGCAATGCACACACAAAGGGAAAAATTCAAAGTATCATTGTTTGCAAATGCTAAAAAGATATCAAACATTCAAAAAAGTCCCTCAAAACCTACAGAGGAAATAAACAACTTTAGCAATGCAGAAAATTGTAAAATCAACATATTAATTCAATATCATGTGTGTACATCAATAATAAACACAATGAGAAGGAAATCATGAAAACAATACCATATAATACGTTGAGCTGTAAATGACTCAAGTCAACAACTTCTGACATTGCCAGTCCTATAGATCACACACTACTATTACCATCAAAAATGACTACATTGCATTATTTTGCTGAATTCATGAGCCTACAATATTTCAATGGCAATGGAATACCCATCTCTGACAAAAGTAGATAAAAAAGGGGGAAATAAATGAAGGACCATTTTGTAGTGAAAAAAACATATATCTGTATATACAAATTAGTTAGGTTAGATATACAGCTACTTTCTCTTAGTTCAATGAGAAGAAAGATTTGTACTAATAGTGTTTAGACAAGAGATCATGTCTGCATCTTGCACAATGAATAACTACTATGAAGACAACAATATGCAATGCATTAAATATCTTAACTGTCCTACTGATCTGTTTTGAGACTGTCTCATTGCTATTCCTTTCTCAATAAAATTAATTTTTAAAAAAAGGAGAGCATCAAGAAAAATGAAGTGCCCAGGATTTAACCTCATAAAAGAAGTGAAAGGCCTTTACCAAGAAAACTACAGCACTCTGAAAAAGGAGATGGACAAAAGAAAATGGAAAATTTTACCTTGGAATCACTTTTGTCTAAATGACCATATTCCTCAAAATTTACATTGCTTTCATGAAGTCTCCATCAAAATGCCAAGAACACACTTCACAGCAGTAGAGACACTAATCCCACATCCACCCGGAACTCAGTGAGACCCAGAATAGCAAAAGCAATCCTGGAAAACAAAAGCAAAGTAGGAGGCATCACAGCACCTAACCTCAAGGTACACTACAAACAACATCAGTAAAAATGGGGGAGTGCTGGAACAGAGACAGATATTTTAGCAAGGGACACAGAGCAGAAGACCCAGAAACATTCCCAGACATGTCCAAGCATTCCATCTTTGATTAGGAGGCCAAAAGCATACTTTGGAGATAAGACAGCCTATTCAACAAAGTGTGCTGGGAAAGCCAGGTAACTAAGATTAAAACTGGAACCATATATTTTACCATATGCAACGCTAATATCAAAGTGAATCGAGTGCCTGAACATTAAAATAGAAACAATCAACTTAGTGAAACATCAAAGGAATAAAACAGATGCAGTCACAGGTTTAGAAGAGGATTTCCTAAATAAAATCACAATTGCACTAGAAATAGCAGCCAGGATGGACAAATGGGATTACATTACACTAGATGTACTTCTGGGTAGCAGAAGAATCAGTTAGAGAAAAGAGACAATGTAGAAGAAAAAAATACTTTCCAGCAGTTCATCAGAGAAGGACTGTTATCTAGAATATGTAAAGAACCAAAAATTTAAAATAAGAAAAAAAACCAATCAAAAAATTGGCAAGTGAAATGAAAAGATACCATTTAGAGGAAGAAGTACAAATGGTCAACAAATATATAAAAAAAATGTTAAATATCCTTGACTATCAGACAAATTAAAACAATTTAGATTGCATGTTACGCCAGAAAGATGTCAGTTGTTAAGACATCAAAAAATAACAAATGTTCGTGTGACTGTGGTGTAAAAGGAGCCCCTCTGCACTGCTGTGAATGGAAAGTACTGAAACTATTACTGAAGTTCTACTCTGTGTCCCTCACTGAAGTACTATTATTTCTATATGGAAATCCTTCAGAGGACTAAAATTAGAAATTTCCTGTGAGGCAGCTATCCCCCTTCTAGGAATCTTCCCCAAGGACATTAGTAAGTCATCCTATTAAAATGATAGGTGCATACCGATCACCTATCTTTAGGTGATTGCATACCAATTATGCAAAATTTATAATACCGAAATCCTTGAACCAGCTTGTATTTCCATGAACAGATGATTAGAGAAGGAAAATACGGCATCTTTATATAATGAAACACTACTTGGCTGTGAAGAATAACAAATTTGAGACATTTGTAGGAAAATGGGTACACCTGGGAAAATATTGTTTTAGTCAGGGTTTTACTAGAGGAATAGGTATACTACAAGGAGCACACATGGCACAAGATGTACCAGTCACAGAGCCGGATGATGAAGTGAGCCGAGAGCATCTGCGCACCACAGACTGAAAGACTCAGTCCCAAGGTCCGAAGCTCACTGCAGTGCTCCATGTCTAACACTCTCTAACTATCCCTAAGGGTCTCTAAGGGACAGCCATCGGGTCTGAAATGGAAGGCTGAAGAGTCTGCGACAGAAAACTGAAGGATCCAAGCTGGAGGCTGAAGAGTCAGCACTGGAATCCCGGGTACGAAGTCCAAGCCGTGAAGACTGAAGTTCCTGCGAGGAAGTGGAATGCTGAATTCTTCCTCAGCCCCTTTATGTCCCCTTTTTGTGCTGAATTCCTCTGGGGCGGGGCCCTCACAGCCGGGAGTGTGTAGAACCACCAGGCAATTCAGCCAAGTTGACACAATGTATGGACCACTACAAATACCAAGTAAAATAACCTGGCACACAGGCTTTAAATACCATATGGTTTCTCGTTGAGAAATGCCAAGTGTAAACAAAGGCACAATAAAGCTCAGATAAGAAACGAGAGGGTAGGTGTCTTACAGATGAGGAGGCGTCCAGGAGAATGGGGTGAGCAGAGATGGG